AGCAGCGTCCATTCCTATTGCATGAACATGCTCCGCACGTACCACTTTTCTTGCTGCAGGAGCAACAGGGCCCAGCAGAAGCCTCACGCCGTGACATGTCATGCAGCCTGCAGCACTGCCAGAAGAAACTACTACTACTACTACTACTACTACTACTACTACTACTACTACTACTACTACTACTACTACTACTACTACTACTACTACTACTACTACTACTACTACTACTACTACTACTACTACTACTACTACTACTACTACTACTACTACTACTACTACTACTACTACTACTACTACTACTACTACTACTACTACTACTACTACTACTACTACTACTACTACTACTACTACTACTACTACTACTACTACTACTACTACTACTACTACTACTACTACTACTACTACTACTACTACTACTACTACTACTACTACTACTACTACTACTACTACTACTACTACTACTACTACTACTACTACTACTACTACTACTACTACTACTACTACTACTACTACTACTACTACTACTACTTGACACAATCTTTATTAGGAAACTTGAAATGGAGATGTGAAACACAAATACAGCCATGTAGATGGAGCAGCAATGCAATACAATGTCCAAAAACTCAAGAATTCATTATCATGGGGCAATGTTGGGCAAATGTCTGTCAGGTACTATCACGCTCAGGCTGCCCGCAACCTGCACATCGTCGTGAAATTCATCCTGTTGCGGCGGTATGACGATCTTGAACCCCGCAAACAGGTGACTGCCCATCGCATAAGGCAGACTGACAGCTTACAACGGAGCTGACCCATGATAACCGATACGTGTAGGTCGACGTTCTTCTCAGCAATCAGGCATGCCAGTGTCTTCAGTGCCATTGAGCATTCTCTGCCAATCATGCCCGAGGTAGAAAAAACTAGCGGTGTAAACGTACCTCTGTCAACTGCTGTCACCCGCTCTCCGTACTGGCGCTTCTTCATCCGTTCATGCGTTCGGAGCTGGCTGATGACTTCCTGACGCGACAGCAAGCTTGCCTTTGGGTGTGTAACCCGGATGTCGAAAAAGGCATCTTGCTGTCTCGTCCAGAAGCCACAAGCCCGGATGTCCAGGCGGGCACCTGCCGAGCGGTTGGCTGTCCTCCCTTGGAGCCGCTCACCATCATATGGTAGTAGAGGCGGTTCCACCTCCACATCCCGGACCGCCTCACGCATCACGTCAGCCAACAAGTCCCGGATCTCATTGTGGCGTGCCATGGGGTAGCCCCCTGCCGGACACATCATCGCATGGTCTATTGTGTTTGTAGCACCACATACACAAGTCAGGGGGAGTCCGTCAGGCTGCAGGCCGTAGCGGATGCAGAACGCATCTCGGAAATCCGATTTGTTCAGCACCATCTGCATTTGGGACGATGGTTCCGCCGTTACCCAAGATGATACGCCCTTTTCCGCGGCATTCTCCACCAACAGCGCCTGTGTTGCTGTCAAATCCGGGCGCAATTCGCTAACGAGACCCGTGGCTTGGGCAGCTTTCTCTCTGCGAATACGCCCGGCCTCCTGCCGGCTGAGGGCTATTGCCTCGTTCAGCTGGTCTGTTTGAGTAGTTTCGTTGGTGCTTGTTGGATGTTCTGGTGGTCTTATGCAGGCCGCCACAGGAGCCACAATCTGTCTGGATGCAGAAAACTCTTTCTCGGCCTCCACCGAGGGCACAGGGATTGCCATGCCACCAAACCGCGCTGGTAGCGATAGCAACTTTCTCAGTGCCGACTCGTCCGAACACGAATGGCCGCTGAGCGCTGGCAGCAGCTTGTCCGTAATGGCGGCGTCGAGACGGGCCAGAAGATGCGCAGGGCAAGATAGGACGCGCAAGTGGTACCGCCACTTGGACACGAGGCCCTTTACAAACACCTCGTACGCAGCATGTGGCTGAGTGGTGGCCACCTCCGCCAGGCGATCAACCTGCAGCGTCCACTTGTCGATCAAATCTGTGATATACTCCTCACAGAAGACCGTTGTACCGAGTGCGCCGCCAAGATAACGAGCACCCTCGGTCACAACACGAATGCCCGTGTCCCTGAAAAGCTGGAGTGCCAGGGCCGAATGCTGCTCCTTGACAATTAGTGTTGTCTTGTTCGCGTTAGGGTAGTACCCATACCCAGGGCCATGCTCCAGAATCCCATCCCAGTACTGCCTTAGATTGAGGAGCTGTCCGCCACCAGCATCGTCATCAGCATACCATAGCTGCACCACGTCGGGGCAGCACTCTGACAGCTTGTCTATCAATGGCATCATGGCGACCGCGTATATCGCCATGGCGAGAGGATCACCTTGGCAGGTACCCTCCTGACTCCTTATCTCTCCACCACCCGACACAAACAGGCGGCATGGACTGCTGTAGGTGTTCTTGAACACCTGCCCCAGGGCAGGGCAGACGAGTGGCACGTTGTGTAGGGCTGCTGTGCGGTTCATAGCGTTGAAAGCGTTGGTGGCATCGACCAAGAGCACACCCTCCACCTCCGGCGAGACAAGCATGTCGGTCATCGTATGCACGGCAGCTTCACACCCAGACGGAACACCAACACAGAGTTGACGAGGGGCTGTGGCGTGCATGGCGTCATACTGAATTATCTTCATCACAGCTTTGCCTATTAGTCTCCGGAAAACCTCCCCAACAGCGATAGGGCGCACCCCCGGTTGCTTGTCCAGTGGGATGAGGCGGGCCGCAGTGAACGAACTTAGCTCTTCTGGTGGGACTTCCTGGGTGCATAAGCGTTTTCCTGCTTCTGCCATTGCCGCACAGAGCTGGTCAGACGCTGCAGCGAAGCAGGTCAACATGCGTTTCCACGCATCAGAGTCCAGGCCCGATGGACCGGCCGCTCCGGACATTTGACGACTTATCTGCTTGATCAGCGCTCCTGTGAGCCTGGCAAAAAGGATCGGATCTTGAGGGGTAGCCGCGTCATGCCCCTGCAAGAGAGCGTCATCCGGAGGTACAGCAGGCTGGGGATGCTTATCAAGCAGAATGTCACGTACTGTTGAACCTGGGCTGCCGCTGACAGTGTCGCTCATTGACAACACTCCACCCGAGCCACTGGAGCAAACCATCCGAATGGCTGACTGCGTTTTCCCAGAACATACGAGTTTTGAAAACAAGGTGTCGTCAATTTGGCCTGACTGGTCGACGTTCCGGGTATGGTGTGCCGGAAGATGCGCCTGGATGCATCGGCATTCACGCAGCAGGGTGTTGATGTCTCCTGACTTCCAAACAGCAAGTCGACGCGTCAGGTGAGTTCCGTGTTCGGAGGAGGAGCCCTGTCCGTGCGGTTTCTGCAACAGGAGGTGGCACGCGACAGCTATTGATGTCCAGGCTCGTTCACGGTTGGGCGCCGCGTCGGAAAATATGCGAACCAGTCGTGCAATTTCCTCAACAAATTGCTTCTCAACAAATTGCTTCCCGGCCGCTCCGAAGGGAACAATAAACAAATTTCTCCTCCAAGTCACACACTCTTCATACGCCCCCTGCAGGCTGTCTGGTTGACCCTCAGGAGCAGTCGGCAAAGGGCCCAAATCGTGCGCCGCTTCTGTACTGGAGTTGTCTCGTGCCGGCTGCTGTGGCTGGGGCTGACTGGCCAGCGGTGTAGATGGGGTGGTAGACGTTGGCCGCTGCGACACGGCTGGGATCGGAGAGTCTGGATGCTGCGACGCCTGCCGCAACTCCTGCATTGACATCTGTGAGCTGGCCTCAGGCTGCGATGCATCGGTGGTTAACGACTGCGTTGAATCGAGAAATGCCAGAAGATTAACGTCCGCAGTAGAAGGCAATGATTGGCTGCATGCCAAAGCAGAGGCTGATGCTGACTGGAGGTCCTGTGTCCTCGTAGAGGCTGTTTGTCCACTACCAGCTAGTGCAGGCTGAGTACCATCTGGCGCTGCAACGGAGGCGCAACTTCTCGGCGCCTTGCTAAAGTTAGTGTTTCTGCATCTCCCCTTTGAAAGCGGGACGCAATTGTCACAACTGACACTATTCTTTGCGCAGCTGCAATTGGCACAAGAGCCCAATGCGTTACACTTGCAGCATTTAGGCATGATGAACCCAGGACATTGCGTGAAAACTGGCTCCGGAGCTAATACCTCACAGCTCCTGGGTGGAGGTGATGCAATACTGAGAAACAGAGAAAATGCAAAGAGTAGCGCCAGCAATTGGAGTCCGCCACCAAAAACTTCACTAGTTAAGGGTGATAAATGACGCGGGGGCGCTATCAGCGCAAATGGTTGCACTGGGAAATACTCTAACATAGAACGCAAGGAGGGTAAGGTAATGCGGGGTAGGGAGCTGAGGTGAGAAAAAGGTGACGGTCCCAGAGGACGCCACAAACAAGTGAGAACACGAATACTTGCAAGGAAAGCAGCCAAGAACACAACACAACCCAACACCAAGAATAGAAAAGAGTACAGTACCATAAAACAGGTGTCCAAGCTTCCTCCTCAGTCAGTTGTTAATCGTCAGAGCTCCAAATCAAGCAACCGTCCTCCACCAGCGCACCAGTAGTACTACTACTACTACTACTACTACTACTACTACTACTACTACTACTACTACTACTACTACTACTACTACTACTACTACTACTACTACTACTACTACTACTACTACTACTACTACTACTACTACTACTACTACTACTACTACTACTACTACTACTACTACTACTACTACTACTACTACTACTACTACTACTACTACTACTACTACTACTACTACTACTACTACTACTACTACTACTACTACTACTACTACTACTACTACTACTACTACTACTACTACTACTACTACTACTACTACTACTACTACTACTACTACTACTACTACTACTACTACTACTACTACTACTACTACTACTACTACTACTACTACTACTACTACTACTACTACTACTACTACTACTACTACTACTACTACTACTACTACTACTACTACTACTACTACTACTACTACTACTACTACTACTACTACTACTACTACTACTACTACTACTACTACTACTACTACTACTACTACTACTACTACTACTACTACTACTACTACTACTACTACTACTACTACTACTACTACTACTACTACTACTACTACTACTACTACTACTACTACTACTACTACTACTACTACTACTACTACTACTACTACTACTACTACTACTACTACTACTACTACTACTACTACTACTACTACTACTACTACTACTACTACTACTACTACTACTACTACTACTACTACTACTACTACTACTACTACTACTACTACTACTACTACTACTACTACTACTACTACTACTACTACTACTACTACTACTACTACTACTACTACTACTACTACTACTACTACTACTACTACTACTACTACTACTACTACTACTACTACTACTACTACTACTACTACTACTACTACTACTACTACTACTACTACTACTACTACTACTACTACTACTACTACTACTACTACTACTACTACTACTACTACTACTACTACTACTACTACTACTACTACTACTACTACTACTACTACTACTACTACTACTACTACTACTACTACTACTACTACTACTACTACTACTACTACTACTACTACTACTACTACTACTACTACTACTACTACTACTACTACTACTACTACTACTACTACTACTACTACTACTACTACTACTACTACTACTACTACTACTACTACTACTACTACTACTACTACTACTACTACTACTACTACTACTACTACTACTACTACTACTACTACTACTACTACTACTACTACTACTACTACTACTACTACTACTACTACTACTACTACTACTACTACTACTACTACTACTACTACTACTACTACTACTACTACTACTACTACTACTACTACTACTACTACTACTACTACTACTACTACTACTACTACTACTACTACTACTACTACTACTACTACTACTACTACTACTACTACTACTACTACTACTACTACTACTACTACTACTACTACTACTACTACTACTACTACTACTACTACTACTACTACTACTACTACTACTACTACTACTACTACTACTACTACTACTACTACTACTACTACTACTACTACTACTACTACTACTACTACTACTACTACTACTACTACTACTACTACTACTACTACTACTACTACTACTACTACTACTACTACTACTACTACTACTACTACTACTACTACTACTACTACTACTACTACTACTACTACTACTACTACTACTACTACTACTACTACTACTACTACTACTACTACTACTACTACTACTACTACTACTACTACTACTACTACTACTACTACTACTACTACTACTACTACTACTACTACTACTACTACTACTACTACTACTACTACTACTACTACTACTACTACTACTACTACTACTACTACTACTACTACTACTACTACTACTACTACTACTACTACTACTACTACTACTACTACTACTACTACTACTACTACTACTACTACTACTACTACTACTACTACTACTACTACTACTACTACTACTACTACTACTACTACTACTACTACTACTACTACTACTACTACTACTACTACTACTACTACTACTACTACTACTACTACTACTACTACTACTACTACTACTACTACTACTACTACTACTACTACTACTACTACTACTACTACTACTACTACTACTACTACTACTACTACTACTACTACTACTACTACTACTACTACTACTACTACTACTACTACTACTACTACTACTACTACTACTACTACTACTACTACTACTACTACTACTACTACTACTACTACTACTACTACTACTACTACTACTACTACTACTACTACTACTACTACTACTACTACTACTACTACTACTACTACTACTACTACTACTACTACTACTACTACTACTACTACTACTACTACTACTACTACTACTACTACTACTACTACTACTACTACTACTACTACTACTACTACTACTACTACTACTACTACTACTACTACTACTACTACTACTACTACTACTACTACTACTACTACTACTACTACTACTACTACTACTACTACTACTACTACTACTACTACTACTACTACTACTACTACTACTACTACTACTACTACTACTACTACTACTACTACTACTACTACTACTACTACTACTACTACTACTACTACTACTACTACTACTACTACTACTACTACTACTACTACTACTACTACTACTACTACTACTACTACTACTACTACTACTACTACTACTACTACTACTACTACTACTACTACTACTACTACTACTACTACTACTACTACTACTACTACTACTACTACTACTACTACTACTACTACTACTACTACTACTACTACTACTACTACTACTACTACTACTACTACTACTACTACTACTAGTCATTTGTTTGAGCATCCTGATTGTCGTGCTGTGTATTCGGATGATTGTTTTTCGATTGTGTCACGTGTACGCAGTGCTAGATTGCTGAATGTTTTGGAAGCTGTACACATCCACACAAGGAAACCCAACCTTTGCAAACAGAAACAAATCAAATTCACACTTAGGCTGTTAGGTAGGTCGTCAAAACCTCGTTAGTTACATGTATGTCCAGTGGTTGTCTCTTGTTGTCGCACTACATGTCGCGCTTATTGAGTTTTCTCGCATTTGCACCTTTGTGTCATTATTGCAATTTTCGCTGTTTACTTTAGCTATCTTCTTTCTTTCTTTCTTTCTTTTTGCGCTGTTTTACCACCTTCTTACTGTATTTAATCCACTGTTCCTGTTCCTTTTCTCTTGCCTGTATTTCACCTGATGAGAAGGCTTGAAAGTATACTTGTGAAGACAAAAACTTTCAAGATGTTTGTAATGAGCCTGAAGTGTGTCCTTTTTATGAGTATTACTACTACTACTACTACTACTACTACTACTACTACTACTACTACTACTACTACTACTACTACTACTACTACTACTACTACTACTACTACTACTACTACTACTACTACTACTACTACTACTACTACTACTACTACTACTACTACTACTACTACTACTACTACTACTACTACTACTACTACTACTACTACTACTACTACTACTACTACTACTACTACTACTACTACTACTACTACTACTACTACTACTACTACTACTACTACTACTACTACTACTACTACTACTACTACTACTACTACTACTACTACTACTACTACTACTACTACTACTACTACTACTACTACTACTACTACTACTACTACTACTACTACTACTACTACTACTACTACTACTACTACTACTACTACTACTACTACTACTACTACTACTACTACTACTACTACTACTACTACTACTACTACTACTACTACTACTACTACTACTACTACTACTACTACTACTACTACTACTACTACTACTACTACTACTACTACTACTACTACTACTACTACTACTACTACTACTACTACTACTACTACTACTACTACTACTACTACTACTACTACTACTACTACTACTACTACTACTACTACTACTACTACTACTACTACTACTACTACTACTACTACTACTACTACTACTACTACTACTACTACTACTACTACTACTACTACTACTACTACTACTACTACTACTACTACTACTACTACTACTACTACTACTACTACTACTACTACTACTACTACTACTACTACTACTACTACTACTACTACTACTACTACTACTACTACTACTACTACTACTACTACTACTACTACTACTACTACTACTACTACTACTACTACTACTACTACTACTACTACTACTACTACTACTACTACTACTACTACTACTACTACTACTACTACTACTACTACTACTACTACTACTACTACTACTACTACTACTACTACTACTACTACTACTACTACTACTACTACTACTACTACTACTACTACTACTACTACTACTACTACTACTACTACTACTACTACTACTACTACTACTACTACTACTACTACTACTACTACTACTACTACTACTACTACTACTACTACTACTACTACTACTACTACTACTACTACTACTACTACTACTACTACTACTACTACTACTACTACTACTACTACTACTACTACTACTACTACTACTACTACTACTACTACTACTACTACTACTACTACTACTACTACTACTACTACTACTACTACTACTACTACTACTACTACTACTACTACTACTACTACTACTACTACTACTACTACTACTACTACTACTACTACTACTACTACTACTACTACTACTACTACTACTACTACTACTACTACTACTACTACTACTACTACTACTACTACTACTACTACTACTACTACTACTACTACTACTACTACTACTACTACTACTACTACTACTACTACTACTACTACTACTACTACTACTACTACTACTACTACAGTCAACTTCGCCAATAACGACATTCGGCGGGGCATCAGAAAAGTGTCCTTATTCGCGAAGTGTCCTTATAACCGAAGTCCCATTTGAATGTATGTGAACCCATGTTTTGTATAGTATGACATGCATATCAAAATGAAGCTCTTTTCTTGCTCTATGTCAATGTGTACTTTATTTTCATATTGCAGTGAAAGGAACTAAAAATTCAATATGCAAGGGAAATCAATTGAAAAATATGCCTTTTTGAGCCATCTACAGGGCCAGAGACATGTACATGTATGATGATTACTGTACAATCATGTACAACTACATGTACAGTAGGTATCGGTTATAGCGTGGGTGTTTGAAAAACGACTTTCTATTCTTATTTCCGATATTTCTTACACACGATAAATCAAGTGTGGCATATCATATGCATGTGCGCATGGGCAGGAAGATCATCGTACATGCAACGCAGTACTTCTGTGCATGTGGCTGGTCATAGTCCCATAGGCTTACCATGTGGCTATGCAACATGGGTTACATGACCACAACATTGGAATCTGCAGCATTACGACGCAGGCGATACACTTTGTACTAATCTGGCATGTTTCGGGACACAAAGTCCATTCTTAGGACCGATATATTCTACTATGGGATAAAATTGCTTGTAAGAATAAATGTGCACTTGAAATCCATGTTATGATTATGAAAACATGAGCGTTCATTCTTGTAGGCAGTGCCGGTATATTCTTTTACACGACCACGCTATAACCGATACGCACTGTACATTGTATACATATACATGTCATGTAGGTGTGCTGGTAAATCCAACAATTTTGAAGCCAACATAAAAAAGGAAGAAAAAGCCCCCCCCCCTTGGCTGTATTTTCTTGCATGTGTGCCTTGCCTTTATATCCATCACCATAGGTTCTGGTACTTCTGCATGACAGGTACTTGAAATAGCTGTCAAAAGCCCAGAAAGTCGTTATTCAAGCAGTGAATATGACCTGGGGGCACTAAAAGCATGTCGCTATACGCGAATTGTCGTTATTCAGATAGTCGTTATATCCAAAGTTAAATGTATACAGTTAGATGGGTCTTTGCTCTGGGCATGGACATTTGGTCGTTATTCGCGAATTGTCGTTATATCCGCAGTCGTTATTAGCGAAGTTGACTGTACTACTACTACTACTACTACTACTACTACTACTACTACTACTACTACAGCTACTACTACTACTACTACTACTACTACTACTACTACTACTACTACTACTACTACTACTACTACTACTACTACTACTACTACTACTACTACTACTACTACTACTACTACTACTACTACTACTACTACTACTACTACTACTACTACTACTACTACTACTACTACTACTACTACTACTACTACTACTACTACTACTACTACTACTACTACTACTACTACTACTACTACTACTACTACTACTACTACTACTACTACTACTACTACTACTACTACTACTACTACTACTACTACTACTACTACTACTACTACTACTACTACTACTACTACTACTACTACTACTACTACTACTACTACTACTACTACTACTACTACTACTACTACTACTACTACTACTACTACTACTACTACTACTACTACTACTACTACTACTACTACTACTACTACTACTACTACTACTACTACTACTACTACTACTACTACTACTACTACTACTACTACTACTACTACTACTACTACTACTACTACTACTACTACT